TATCTGGTTACGATATCTTGAGTATTGTGTGGGCGCATGTCGCCAGTTGCTGTTTCGCTGTTTGCATACATGACAAGTGTGAAGAAGTCGAGTATGATTGCACCACCATGATTAGCACAACAATAGCCCATGAGAGAGTTGCCCAAGAATCGCTCATGAATACCCCAAAAATGACCAAAGAATAGCCCAAGAATAGGCCTTGATTAGCCCATTAAGAATAAGCCCAGGAGTAGCCCACTATGAAGAGATGAGGGATCGGTGTAGAATGGTGAAGAATAGCCAAAGCACGACCGAAGAGTAACCCGCTAAGAATGGCCCACGAAAAATACCTCAAGAGTTGAAATGGAAAAGAGAATGGAGCTGGCTTCCTTGCTGGTTGGGTTGCCATGCCCCTTGCAGGTCCTGAAGGTGGGTAGACCAGTTTGAGTACACAGCCCGAGGTAGGTAGTGTGAGATGTAAAAATAGTAAATACGGAGAGAAGAAAATAGCATAGTAAATGCAGCTGTCCCCCATATGAGGAGAAGGCAGCATGCATTTGAAAAAATAAAGAAACAAAAAGAGAATGAGATTACCCTGTGCAAGTGGTTGTGTGGTGCTAGATTGTGATTTATTGCAGGAGAGACTCTGGCACTGCAGTATGGTTGTGCCCTTGGGTGAATGACTCGCATCTATGGTTATTGCATGCATTGCAAGCAGTTGAGGGTTTATGGCTTATGTGTGCTTGTGCAAAAGAAAGAAGAGAACCTGCTGGTTTCTCGCAAAATAAAGCAAGTACTTCAAGTGATCTTTGGCCTTGAGTTGACTGTGGTCTTTAAAAGAGGAATCGCGTTGGCGGCTAAACTTCTTCGGCATGGTTGGCAGGTTCCAGAGGTCAGATGATGCATGCTGTTGTGGGGACCGAGGACAGATGCGGTACCAATTTGGCGGCCGCAGAGAGGGCAGGGAATATTCAGGCAGAGATGACAGTGGGACGGAAACGGTTGAAATTGGAGGCAGAGGCAGGCATGGGACAGCTGCATGGAGGAGGGTACAGAGAAGGTGGGGACAATGGAGGTGGGAAGTGTGCTGCGGTAGGAGGTCGGATTGACCGTACTCGGGAGTATTACGGAACATCTGATGCGGACTTAGACAGGAGGCGGAAGTGGGCCAAGCTTCGGGGTGCGATGGGATCTAAGAGCACTGAGAATGAGGCTCCTGCTGCTCCTGTGCCCCCACCAATTATGCGTCAGGATGTTGTGCCGCACGAAGGGGAGGATATCGGAGGGGTTCCTGTGCTGCCGATGGAGGAAAGGTTGATGTCGACTATGGGAGCCGGCGTGCTTGATGGCCGACTGATTGGAGCAGCACAACGAAGGCGGTTAAGAAAAGCGAAGAGGCGGTTAAAAGACGCAGAGGCGATGAGAAAGTTGGGCGATCCGAATGCCGAGATCGTTGCGGCAGAGGCGAATGCAGTCCTTGAAGGAGTGACGAAGCCACTGTTACAGCAGGTTCTTCCACCCCCAAGGCCTGTGTATCAACAACCCCCGCAAGGTGCTTATGAGGGCCAGACCACAGTTGAGAATTCTGGAGCGAAACGGCCACCTTCTGTGCACCGGAGGGAAGAGATGCCATTCGGCATGAAGGGCAGGCATGCAACTGCTGGAATTCTAGACCTAGGGGGAGGGGCAAGGTTCATCCTCCCTCCGTTCTACGACGATTTAGCTGTGATCTTGAGGCTTCCAAAGTTCTCAGACATCAGAATAGACGAGAGGGTACTGGCTGGGCGGCTTAGATCCAAGGATATTATGGCATTGGTCATGTCTGATCCGTTGGCAAAGAAATGGAAGACAAGGCGTGGGATGGGCGAGAGTGGGGAGGGCTGGAAGCCGTGGCAGCCCATCGCAAAACGACCGTCTGCAACGAGTTCTCAGAGTGCGTTCACAACGTCGCAGCCTGCCGCATCTGGCCGCGGAGGTGGTGCAGGATTACCGCCAGGTACGTCCATGCTGACGCCTCCGCCACCCATGGCACCCATTCTTCGGGGGGCAGGGAAGTTGGGCTCAGCGTCCATTGTTGGACTGTCGACGTCGTCCGCAAGTACGCCCGGCAGAATGGTCAGTGGCATGTCGGTTGTTCCAAATAGCGCCGCCGGTACATTTTTGGGAAACCCTGTGACCGGGTCACTATCTACACGACCACCTCTCCCATTCTCCTCTCCCTTGTCTGGGGCAGGTCCTTCTGTTGCCAGCAGTGCTCAGCTGCCTGCTACCCCTGTAGCAGGTGGTGTGCCACGTCCAATCTCTCTCGCACCGACTGCAGTTAACCCCATGGCCCCACCACTGTACATGCCTTTGTCTTTGGCTCCATCTGCATCACACCCAAGGATGCCATTACCACATCCGCACTCACCCCACCACCCGCTCCCTTCGATGGATCTTAACGCTGCTGGTTTTCAGCCGCATATGCCAGGGGCATCCGTGATGCCTCCACCACCACCGCAGACGCCAAAAAGCGCATCATCCAGCGCTGTTGGATCTTTGCAGCCAGGAGTGCCGTGCTCCCCTCAGGTCTTTGAAGAGGCTATTTCCCGTGGCAAGGCAGCAGCAGCAGCTGCAGTGGCAGCTGCATCGAGAAAGGCTGCTGCTGCACAGTTGCAGAGTGGAGTAGTGAATGGTGCAGGTGCGTTGAGAGCAGCACTGCCAACGACAAAGCCAGCGAAGGTTGAAGGTCAGATTGTGAAAATGGAACAAGGCTCAAATGACGGGCAACCGGGAATGCCGCGGGAAGTAGGAAGTTCTGCGCTCACAGGCCCATTGTTACAGGGCGCACCTCAACAGCAACGGGATCAGTTGGCACTAACTGTGACATCTGCTAACAAGATCATGAACGTGAAGAGTGAGGAAGTGCTAGACCCGGCACTGAAGGTGAAGGAAGAAGTGGAGAAGGTTGCAAGATATTGGATAAATCTTGTTCGAAAGGATCTACCAAGGCATCACAAATTGTTTGTGTTGTACCATAAGAAACAGACGCAGGATGTCCGGCGGATCGCAGAAATGTGTCAGCGTGAGGTGAGGGCGCGTGCGATACGGTCGATCAGGGCAGCGAAGGGTGCAGTGATGCGAACGCGCAGACTCGCACGTGATATGATGATGTTTTGGAAGAAGGCAGACAAGGAGTTGGTCGAACAGAAGAGGAGAGAGGAGAAGGATGCTGCGGACATGCGTCGGCGTGAAGAAGAGCTGCGCGAGGCTCGGCGTCAGCAGCAAAGGCTTAACTTTCTGCTGACGCAGACTGAACTCTACAGCCATTTCATGCGGAACAAGCTTATGGGAGCCGGTAACGTGACGCCTGCCCGTACAGAGGGGTCTGAACTGGTGCAGGAGGGTGCCAATGATCCTCTTAAGGAGGGGGTTGGGGGAGATGCGGGTGCTGACGAGGGTGGCCAAGAGAAAGATGCGAACATGCTGGAAGACGAAGAAGCAGAAATGCAAGAACAAGCTGTGCGCGCTGCACAGGCTGCGGCTTCTCAACAACGGCAAAGAACTAGTTCGTTTGATTCGGAGAGCCAGCGACTTCGGGATGCTTCTGAAGGCCTTCCCTCTGCTTCAAAGCCGCCTGACGATATCCCCGGCCTTGAGGAGGCGGCAAGAGATATGAATCTATTAAACCCGTAAGTTATGCAGACTAAAACTTTGGCAATCACACTTCTTTAATGGGTGGCAGTGACCTTAGTCTCCTCGATCTACGAGGGTGCAAGATCATGTCAACTAATCAATGGTCCCACTTGAATGCTTGAAGTTTGAACTACCATCTTCCCCCGAATAGAACATATGGTCATTATAGCCGTATTTGGCTCACCTTTATGTCCAGATGCAGCGGAAATGACCGTACATTGTATTCGGGGGAAGAAGGCAGTTGCAGGGAGTTACGCATCACTCGGCAGATTGATTCAAGTAAAGAAATCATGATCAAGCCTCATCCTGGAAAGCAATGTCAACTCACTTACTGAGTCATTCTGCAAACAAGTTGATTGAGGGCATGCTCACACTAGGATGTTTTTGACTCAGCTCTGGCCGTGATTGCTGTCAGATTCATCTGTGGGCGGTCAAAACTGCGGCCAGATCTTCCAGGCAAAGTGCCAATGTTAGTATGCCCTGACTGGACCAGATCAGCTTTCAGTCAGAAAAGAGGCTTCCCGATGTGGTCCTGAAATGTCTGCTAGGCATGTTCATCAGAAGGGTTACAGGGATTTCCAAATCACAGCCACTCGACAGTGGACTCTCCTTACCTCAATTTGTACAGGTGTGACGCTTAGGGTGTTAAGTGGTCGATTTGTTTACTAATGGGGGCAAGCGGGGTGCACACACACAGCTTAAAATTTGTACAATGTCTAATTTGGTGCCATAACACTGCGGACGAAATGACATTGATCATCAACTTTTACGTGATAATACGCGATCAACTGTATAACACACACATGCTAACTTTTACGCGATCTACTGTATAACACATCCCTGCACTTATAAAAAGAGCTAATGTGAGAAATCAGACATCCGGGCCGTCCGGGGTCCTACTGGGCCGAGGACCCGGATCGTCAGATGATCTTGAACATTTTAAGATCGGGCGAAGATCTGGGCCATCCGCGGTCCTACCGGGCTGATGGCCTGGATTGTCGCACGATCTTAAGATTCTAAGACCGCGCAAAGATCAGGGCCGCCCGTCGGGCACCACTGGGCCAATGGCCCGGATTAGAACTTTGCAGGCAAGAAAAGGTCCCGGGCCGCTCCCCTATTCTGTAGTGCCTCTGAACTGCACTGCCGTTCGACCTTTTGGCTGCACAACAGCAACACACACCACACAGACACCACACGGACGCATGCATGCGACCCCACCCGCACGTGCATGGACACATACGCACACATGCACATGCATGGTGGGCAGACTGTCGGGATTCAACAAACACACACCACACGGACACCACACGGACACCACACGGACACCACACGGACACCACACGGACACCACACGGACGCAAGCAAGCGCACATGCACGGACGCACACGCACGCATGCACATGCATCCTGGGCGGACTGTTGGGGTTCAACCTCCTGATGAGTTGGTGAACGTCCAGCGAAACAGTCTAGCACAGTCATGCTTTTCTTTGTGGAGTTGTGTATAGCGAACGTGACAACAAGACTGCCTGAATACACACATGCACGCGCACACAATAGTGTCCATGTGTGTGTGTGTGTGAGAGAGAGAGGGAGAGAGGGAGAGAGAGAGAGGGTTAATAGCGTGAAGTTGAGATAGAAATAGGTGCACGCGAGAGAGAGTGGCGGAGAGGCGTATGCGAGGGTGAGGTATTGGTGCACGGGAAGTGAGGGAGGGTCTGAACTAGAGAGAGACAGGTATAACAGAGATAGGTGCCCCCTCCCCCCAGCATGTGTGTGTGTGTGTGTGTGTGTG